CGTTTACATCCTTGATCAAATTGTTCACACCCTTCTGTTAGTACAGTCTCACAGGTCTCCCCCTTCATCCGCGTCTCTTCTAAATTTTTGGCCCTCAATAGATCAAGTGTTAGGGTTAGCTGGCATGCCGCTTGCTCGCAACCCACGTCGCCCGGCTCAAAGGGAGAATCTGTCCGAAGTTCCGCATCAGGCTTCTTTCTCTTCATCTTCTCCAGCTCATATAAGTTATTCTTTTTATTTAGTTTAGTGATGATGATCGGCAGTCAGCACAAGGCGATAAAGCATCAAATATTTGGGACGTTGTTATCCACCATTTCCAATATAAGCTCTAGTGACAGATTCCTTAAATATTAGGCGATAAAGCATCAAGTATTACACTATTACATAATTTCTTAAATTCTCGTATTTGATTGTTGTATCATGGAAAGGGTAAAATTGGAGTGGGGTGCAAAGTCAGATACGATTCTTCTTGACTGGGTTTATGTATTTCCCCAATACCCATGAGGCTCCACTACTAGAAAAATGGCTATTTGCAAGCCATAACTATCTGTATCCAAACCTTACTTTAATTTATTCTTCTTTTTCATCATCTTTTTTGTTTTTTTTTAATATACTCATTCATTTCCTAACTTTTGATTCAATTTATTTCAGTTTTGTTTTGTGTGAAAAGAGCAACTGGGAGTTACTCTCTAAAAAAATATTCCAACATTCGAAAAGCAAAAAAAAAGTTCGTCTGATTACTTGAATACAAAAAAGAATGTGGTCTGATTACTTCAAGGAACAGAACATAAACACCAATTTTACCAATAAATTCACAAAAGTAATAACCTAAAATTGATAAGCTTCAATAGATTGAATGATATGATAAATGCTTTGAAACTAAACCTCTATTGAGTAAACAAGGTCCAGAGAGGTGGAGACGGGTACAGAGATTCTACTGGGAGGGGGCGGCGGAGTGTGGTGTGCTGCGCAAGACGGCCGCGGCCAAGAAGCGCGGAGTAGAAGGACGAACTGTTGGAGGAGGCGGGGGCTTGCCTACGGAGACGGCGGGCTGGCACGACGAAGCTGTTCGACGGCGAGGCTCTCGACGGCGGCGACGTGCAGCTGGAACGATGATGGCCACGTGTGGCTGAAACGAAGAAGATAAACGATGCCCGTGTCTGCTGAAACCGAGTGGCCTGCGAGGGTTATCCCATTTTTAAAGGTTATTGCTGCGGTGACGACTCACCCGCAGCTAAAGTAAAATAGTTTTAATTTTTAATTTCATTTGAGCGGTTTAATTCCAATTTTTCGGGTAAATTGCTGCGGTTCCTAAACGCCCGCATCAAATAGTCTAGATTTTTGGATACATTTACTGCGGTTTCTATTGGACCGCCGCAAATAATTAAAAATTTTCACTTATTGCTGCGGTTCGGCCTATAACCGCAGCAAAAGGGAAGCAGCAAATGATGAAAATTCTAGTAGTGCTCAAAATGAAAATGTTCCTTTTTTATATAAGGTAATGTTTTCATGAATGTTATCCTTATGCAACTTGTCATGGAAGGATAAAGCAGGATAGAGATTGGAGCTTTTCTGTTGAATAGTTAAACATTTTCTCTTGATTTTAAATCTTAGCATCAAAGTCGAAGTGTTTAGTTATGAACTTGTAGTAAGAAACTTGGAGATCGTTGAATTTGGAAAATTTGCTGGAGTGGTTCAGTTTTTTTATGTGGGCTAAGATAGTGAAAGTATCATTATCACTGCGTTTACCTAATGGCTATTGTATGAATTATGAAAGAGAAGTGTATACACTTTCTCAATGGCTATTCATTTTCAGGGTATCTCAACCTTGGACATTCAACACAATTTAAGCGAAAAGGGCAAATGTAATTTGAATTTCATAATCTCATTTGTCCATTCACAGGTAAGTGTTCTTAAGTTTCCTTTTCATTGCTTCTTTTACTATTTTGTTATAAAATTACATAAAAATTGCTTTGAAGTGTTGGAAACTGGTGACTTATCATTCTTTAAGAAATAATAATCAGTAGTAATTAGGACTTGAAGAAGGGAGAACTGGATAATAGTTCAATTGTTGTCATACAGAATACAAAGATTGTTGTGAAGGAATAAAAGGAGATACCCGAAGTTGCTCCAGTTTAGGCTTTAGCACATGTTGTTCATCTTGGTGACTGCACTAATGTTCTTAAGGTTGTCCCTTTCTAACACTTATGCTAATGATCCATTTTATTGTTATTTAATTCATTATCTATGACATACTAACCCTATCAAGGCTGTCGAGGCTACCATTTAATCTTTATCAACCACAGAGAAAATAAAGAATTATTTTTTGGGTGAATTTGGCTCGCGTTACTAAACGCATGGCCGCTATTAAAGAAGTTATTGAAGTATTGACTAATGAATACATAGGTTTTATTGATAGAATAAAGAAAATAACAATCCAAAGAGGCTGAAATGGTCATCTTAAGAAATTTAAGCGAAAATAAGAAGTAGTTCCAGACAACGGCTGTGCTACACTTTTTACATTATCAACTGATTTATCAGTCATGATCAAATAAATAATACATTAGTGAATTATTTACATTTGTAAATGAATCGGATATTTTGCACAAGTGTAGAGCCTAGATAAGAGCAAACTTCGGAAATGACATGGATATATTTACAAGTTAAAGCAATGGTGCAAAGGTAAAGCCTTACTATTAGAAGCAGATATCTAGGGTCTTTTGAGTTATGGAAATAAAGTTACGAAATGGTTAATTGATTCGTAATGCTCCATACTAATATGGCAACATGTAGTGATTTTAGATTCGTTTGTTTGATGCCTAGATTTGCTTTTGACTTAGGTAAAAAGTTCGTTAGTCTTTACACAATCTAAGTATTTTTTGCTTCCTAGCTTGGTGAATTTTCTTGATGTGGCATGCTAATCTTGGAGTTATTTTTTTTGTAGCGTGAGAAAGCTTTACTAGAAACCCAAACAAAATATAAATAGACCGATGTATCTGAAACCAAAATTGCTGATGTCAGTGCTCTGGAAGCTGGAATTGATGATCGATTACTTGAAGTGTGAGAAAAAATGACCCATGGTTGATGCTAAGTCAGCAGAAGCAAGTTCATAATTCAGTGTTTGACATTTAAAAAAATTGAGGCCTGTAAAATGTCCTTATTAGTACATCGGTCTATCTTTCCATTCAAAGCAGGACTTTTCCCCCTGTATTTACGCTCTTTATGGAATATGGATAGTAACATTCAAGGCTTACAAATTAAAAAACTTTATCATTCTAGCTAATACGAGAAGCACGATTTATTATAAAATTTTGACTTGAAATAGTAGTGAGTTACATGCAAATAATACAATCATACGTCAAAAAAGGCAATGCAGGCTTTAATATGTGGTGTTTTTTTTTATAATCTAGGTGTCGGGGCTTACACTCGCATAATCATGGAGCTTATGAACCGCCCTCCAAGCCTCTAGATAGGTAAATTTGCATGTAATAACTGTCAATCTTGTCAATACTAGCTCCAAAGAACGAATTCAGCATGACTTGCATCATTTGCCTCTTCAAGACTGCTGCTCCCACCACATGAACTTGCTGTCTTCATTATCATCTCCTCCCTTCTCAGTCTGAGCTTCTCCGTGAAGGTAGAGAGAGTCATGAGGCTATGAAGATGCTGAAATTTCAGCACAAGAAACCATTATGGAAGCTGCCCATGATAATTTAGTTGCCCTAGAGGCTATGAAGATGGTTGTCCATGATGAAGGCTCCGTTCAAGAAAAATTGGGAGTAACCTTAGTGGAGAACATGGAGGTTGAGATCAATCAAAAAGAACTAAAGGAGATAGAGAGAGAAGATTTGGAGTTGAAGGAACATGTTACCTTGGAGGTGTTTCCCGAGGATCACCTGATAGACTAAAAGTCAATCAAAAACACTTCAGGATGAAGAGGACTATTTTGTTTACCCAACCTACTCAAACTATGATTTGCCTCAAAAACTTGTAACAAGACTCAAACGTTATAAGTCGTCACATCCGGAGGCAAAAACTTACCCTCCTTATCTGCAAATTTTACTTGTTAGACTTTATCTTTGCGCGTTTATTTGTATTTTTCTTGTTGAACTTCATTTTGTAACTTCTTATTTTTAATAAATTTGGAAAGTGTTCCCCGACACTTTCCCCACTCCTAGTGGCCTATCCGGGATTAAAAGAGAGAGAGAGAGTCATGAGGAGCAAACCTCCCGCATCTCTCCTAGGTGGGAATTGAACCAAAGACCTCTCACAAAGGAGAGATTTAACGGTGGATAGTCATCCAATGGACCACACCCACCTTCCCTATAATATGTGATGATGTTAATAACATTACAATCAACTCATGAATTCCACTCAAAACCATCGGATAAGACAAGAGAACCACTTTTGATGTAAGAAAAGTGCATTAAACTAAAACCTTATATAACACAAAACACATTGGGCACCATCCCAATCGCGCATTGCGCGTAACAAAAACTAGTATCTAATATAAGTACGTATTTTATTTTTGTTTAGTGCCTACTGCCTAGTGTCAAGCTAGAACAAATCCAAAACAAACGTCCTAATTACCATTACCGTGTCAATAACTTCGTCACTCTATTTAATTATGCCTTATTTGCGCCGAAAGCCTTTTTGATCAAATTGCTTTTTTAGTTGTGTGGTACTGCGTATGTGTGTACAACAGTAATAGTGTATACAAAATGTTTTTTCTTTAGATAATAAGACGTTGCCCCACCTACGTTACTTTGGCTCCGTTTGGTATATGGCGTTTTCAAGAAACCGCCGACTTTTTTGAACTAGGAAACGCCGAACGGTACATTTGGTAGCGTATTGATATCAAGCCGCTGAAAAACAAACGGCCTCTATAGACATTTAATTATCGTTTATACATACCCGCCAACCCACACTAAGCTTACCTGTGCAAAGGAATTGAATGAACTCATGGCAAATGAAAAGCAGGCTAAAAACAATTGCAAGCAGGATCATGATTTTCTGAATAATAGATGAAGTAAACCCTACAAAAATTCGTGTAGTTGGTCAGGAAAAGACTTTCCAACTTTGAAATTGAAACCCATATTTATTAAGAAAAATTGAGAATAAAACTACAAACAATGATTGCTTTAGATGATTGCAGACTGCTGCAAAAATGTGGGTGTGAACAATATAAGATATGCAAAACGCTCAAATCACAAGAGCCAAGTATACAGCGGCTGCCCCTTCTCCCAAATAAAAGAAATGGAATGTGAGTCTGAGAGATTCATGACAAAAATGGATCAAACTAAATTGATCAAACCATTCATCATTCTCCTCTATCTGTATTAGCATGCACAACCGCCTCTTTGCTCGTTATCTGCAGACACGTCCGAAACTCCCTGGAAGTATCTGGCAACCATGAAAACAGAATCACTTATAGAAACTCAGATTTATGCCTGGAATCTTTAACTAGAAGGATAGCTAGTTATATTTTGATGATTAATTCTGCGGAGCAAGATCAGTATCGAGTTCAACTATTGTACAAGCTGGGAACATTTCAGTACATCGATTTGTTTCAACTAAAGTGCCAAAGACAAGTGAAAATGTATGGCTTTCAATGATAAAAGCTAAAACTGAGTATGAAAAACAGTGGTTCATTTACTACATCCTATCCTTATCTCATTGCATACAATGGCAAACGAATTTATTAAGAGATGATTCTATGACTACTCTTTGTTGAAATGAATGAAGAAATTTTTTGTTGAAGAGATAAGTATATCTCTGGAAGGAAATTCCATTAATAAGGGTTATTTAAGCAGAGTAAAGTTGTCAATTTTGCCATTTATTTTAGCCCATTGATTGAACTTCCCAATCAGCAGTAGTCCCATGTAGGGTATATCAGCAGTAGTCCCATGTAGGGTATATCAGCTCCTCTCGGATACATAGGCTATAATTGATCATAAGAACTACTCCTTGTTCAGGGCATTCCCTTCAGAAAAAAGTAGTTTTGGGGAGCAAGGGCCATCCGCTGGTCCCCAAGGGAGTCAGTGCTTGGTTGTAATGTAGATGTAAGATATCCTTTGCACAGGAAAGGAAACAATTTATTCACAGCAGCTAGGGTTCCTTGGAAGGGTTTCAAAATAAGGCCACTGTCATCAAATGTACTGACGATTTCATACCACAGAACTAAAAATTATACCCTACACACGGCAAACCCAAGACATAATCTGGTAAGAAATTCTGTTTTTTTCTACATGACTCTCATTAAAGAGCTCGTGTAGGAGGATTTCATCATGGTCACAGATGTTAAGGGTAATATATGGATTTCATAACTTCCCAATCAGCTGTAAAGTTGTTGCACTTAAGCTGCAAAGTCTGGGGGTAAAAACAACTATCTTAGAGTTTTATTCCACTCCAAACCTATTACTTCTTGAACAACTATTTTACTGACTGCCTGTAAAGACCTTTTCTTTTCATGAATAAAATTTTACATTCTCACTGCTCATTTACCAGACCATCTGCAACAGACACGCCAATCTGCTCAATCTCCAGTTCTAGCCAAGAAGAAATTCATTTTATCTGGTCCAGTGGAGGACTTGGTTTGCCGAGTCTACTTGGTAAGCAAAAGTCCCCAGCTTTATGAGTAAAATTGGGGATCGAGATATATTAAAATAATGAAATGGGCCCACAACTTTGAATATTAACTGATGAGTCCAGTTTCAATAAAAGAATTTAATTTTCATTGAATACTTGAATTCAATCTAAGTTTTCCAACAAACAAATAGTTCCAAGCAAGTTAATGAAGTATTTAAATTACACTTCAAAAATAAAAGGGTTAAATATAAAAATACAAGTAGGGCTGCAGGCTGCTAAATCACAAGAGTAATACGTTGCCCTTTTAAAAAAGTTCCACCTTCATGAAACAATAGTCTCTTTTGGGATATATCTTGACGTTCCATTTTTATCCATTTTATTATGAGTCATAAATGAATCCTTCAAAAATAAACATGAACATATTACGTAGTATTTATTTACTCTCATACAATGGAATGATGAACTTATTATTTATCCCACACAAGCAATGGAAACAATAGCAACAATAATAATAAAAACAATACAAACTTGGAAAATCCAAAGAAAAACAATGCCATATAAGGATTATTAACCCCTTCTAAAAGGCGACTCATAATAAGGACCCACGGGAGGGGGCTATAAAGTAGCAAAAGAAAAAGGTATAAGTCATTGTTTGTGTAAGTTAAGTTAGAGAAAGATTAAACTGTTAATTTAAGGCATAAGAGCCATATGGTCTAAACCTCGCAAGGAATCAGCCCATTCAAATGAGTACATCACATGTAAATGAGATTAGACCAAGTCAACATTGACCAATAACGAATCAAGCATCGGAAACATATAATGTTCCGGAGTATATTTGTAACCCTTTTCAAACCGGTTTTAGACAAATCAGGCTTAACAGTTCTAAATCCGGGAAGGGTTTGTACCCGAATAAGCTATACTTTTAGGTTTTATCCTCTTTGCAGGTTAGGGGTTAACCTGCACGGTCTTGTTAGCGGTCACCAGTTTACAGGTTGACCCAGCCAGACTGGCTTTGGTCATACAGATAGGATGAAGGAAGAGGAGGTTGTAGCTAATGTTTTGAAAAAATTTGGTAAAAATACTTTGGGGAAAAATTGGAGATATTCGTTGGAGTTGCTAATAGGTCAAACTGTCAAAGAATTGGGGGAGGGGGGAGTTGTCTGACTTGTCTCAAAATGAATGCAACGATGCAAGATGAACCACGAAGATGTTTTAAAGCTTATAGTGGAACCAAAAATATGCACCATTTTGGAATAAATTCTTAAGTTGTTTTCTGATCCCGGTAAACGGTGAAAAGGGAGAAAACATGTTGTGTTTGATTTACTCCGAAAATGCAAAGGAAAATCAAATTAGATTATTGTTTTTAATTTTTACCTATGTTTAGATAACTTAGTTTTATAGTTTTTATCAAATAAAACAAGTTCGAAGTTTTGAGCGAATATTAAAAATAAGTTTGTTGAGTTTGAACCAAGGTTTACTTCTCCTTCACATTTTCTCTCCTTCAAATTCCAAATGGACCATTTATTTACCAAATAAAAATTAAAACGATTGCAAGCGAAGTATATGAAAATATATAGTTTTTCTCATCAAATCAAAATGGGATACATATATGACAACATAAACAAGAACTTACATGTCTTGTTCATGCTCATTGGCTAATGCAGCTTTTGCAATACACAAGAAAGCAGCATCTACATTTATGTCCTCCTTCGCCGATGTCTCAAAGTAAGGTATGTTCCCTTTGGAAGTGCACCAATCCTTAGCCTTCTTTTCAGAAACCTACGCCCATACATACATGATCACTACTGAAAGTCACTCAACTGTCAAAATATATCTAAACAGTACATGAAGTATAAAAAACTTACCACTCTACTATTCCCGCCATCTATATCAACCTTGTTTCCCAATAAAATAAAAGGAAACGTCTTCGGGTCAGATGGATTAGCCTGCATATCAATTTGTTGCAAATTAATGACAAATGCAAAACCCAATATCTAAAAAATGAAAATGATGGAAGAGTTTTGCCGGTCCCACAACCACATGCTAAATGCAGACTCATCATAATGATGATAATTGAATACAGAAAGATCATATAAGAAAACAAATAAAGCTTTAAATTAGAGAAAATAAAGTTTGGATACAATCATAGAAAAGATAAACGAGGAAGCATAAAGGGCGAAACCAACCCTCATAAACTTAATACATGCAAGTCCATCCATGGTTCCCTAAAGACTTGAACCACTCAAATTGATAACAATGCTTATCTGTCACAATATGAAATGAATCCAGACGACACAAAGTAAAGAGTAGACAAACAAGTAAAGTATGTTAACATTAAACTGCTGAATTCTACCTTAAGAATGTCATGCTTCTTATAATTGTACAAATTGTCTAGAATAAAATTTTCCAGTTACCAAGAGACTAAGAGTGAGGTTGGAACCTGGAAAATGGCCGGGAAACAAAACAGGGAGGAAAACGAAGGGGAATTTGAAGCAAAAAAATAAACTCAGGGAATTTATTTAAACTCTTTTAAATTATAAATTTCTATAATAAAAACATATAAAGACTAGGAAATCTAAATATATTTAAAGTATTAGCAAAAATTCAATTAAAACTTCCTCCAATTCTTACATGGTAGACAAACACAAAATGAATGTTCCTGTAGCAATGTTTTTCATTTACTTTACCATTTTCTGCGTTACAAGCATACCTTAGCACAAATTATAATCAAGTTCTAAACAACACACACAGACAAAGAGATTTACAAGTTAATGCTTATTGCTTAATAAATTGGAGTCCTTAGAGTCAGGTTGCTGGCGTAAAATTTGGAAAAAGTGCCTTCAAATTTATAATAATCAAATCAGAAAGATTGCCTGCTAGTTGGAATGCTTACAAGTTACAAGTCAAAAGATATTTTTATATTTAAAATCTACTACGTATATGTTTATTGGGCTGGTGGGTTACTGCTTGGCCTAATTCTTGGGTGTATATTTAGGCTGGGCTGGTCATGAATTTCACCAAACTATAGCTACAAATAATAAATTAATTGGAGGCAGAGCTGGGCTAGAGCCCACCCTAGCTCATTATTAAATCCGCCCTTGACAAAAAGATATGCAAAGGATTAGCCTCGGAAGGAAAAATTGGTCAACCTGTTTGAGAAATTCTTCATGCCAGTTATCAAGGCTATCGAAAGATCGCATAACATTGACATCATAGACCTGAACACAACAATCCGCCCCTCTATAAAATGCAACCCCAAGACTCTGAAATCTCTCTTGCCCAGCTGTGTCCCATATCTACATAAATGCCATTAAGCTCCATCAAAATGTGACAACACAATGTAACAGCCTTGCAAATCTATCTTTCTAAAAAAGAAAAAGAAAACGAAAAAGAAACTCACTTGCAGGGTAATGAGGCGATCATCAATTTGAAGCTCCTTTGTAACAAAATCAGCACCAATTGTTGCTTTATACTGTTGACTGAACCTCTTATGAACATATCTACAAATGCAATTAAAGACTATCCAAAAATACAGAGTAGCATTCAAATAAGCATCATGCTTGCTAATTTTAGCAAGAAGAATCCACACGCTCACACTACATCTCAACTGCAAATGGGAATATATTAAAGAAACCCATAATTTCTAGACCACATAAATGAAAAGAGTTTCCCCAATAAATACAATTCCACCAACGCTTGGGAAATAACATTGGGGTCCTAACAGATGAAATTCAATGTAACGAAAAAATTAATAAATTGTGGAAACAGTAGGCGTACGTATCTGATATCTGCTGTGAAAAAAGGATACTGATTCATCAATGAAGTTTTGCCGACCCTGAAAAACAGAATAAGGTGAAATAAAATTATCAAATCAAGTAGCTTAGAGGAAAAAGGACTATTAATTATAAAGGCAGGCTCGTAAGACTCGGATCAGAAATAGTAGATTCGTACTCGGTCGAATCTAATTTTTAAAAAAATGCATACCCACTGTCGCCGAGGACGATGACCTTTAGCAACGTTCTTCGACGGGCAGACATGGCGCTAACTGAGTAAAGCTTCTTGCTTTCTCCGTTTCCAAATCTGGGACGATGCTCAAGTGAAACTTTCAGGCTTTCAGGGATGGGCAGTACGATGGTGGGTAGGTTGTCACAGGGAACGAGACAGTAGAGAGGGGCGCCAATTTCGATCTCCGTCAGTTAATCGATTGCATGAATAACAAATTGGCCGACGGAACTCAGGAACTAAGAATGCCGTTTTGCAATCATCGTTTTTAATTTAATCAATGCTTTATTATTAAAATGTCTTTTTCTGCTCTTTAAATTTTTAAAAAAGTGTTCTACAAAGCTGTCACACCTCACACGCGATTCTCGCTCGAACCCTACTACTATAATACCTGGCTACCTGTTACGGAGTAATAAATTGTACCATGGAATTGTAGAAAAAAAAAATCAGCAGAAGCCTGAAATGGAGAGAGGTACAACTCAAAAGTCAAAACAAATTGATCTCTCAAAAGATTTACGTCCCAATTGGATAAGATGTTTGTGAAATTCTAAATTCAAAAGCTACGGTAAACAATTTGTACACAAAATGACTGTCACACATAATTCATACGGAATTATCTGTGGGCACAGACAAGGTTGTCTGTGTACACAGACAACTTTTGTCTGTCTCCACAGACATTTACTTTTTTTTTTTGTAAAAAATGCACTAACAGCTGCCTGACACTGACACCAGTTTGCACATCAATCAATATATGTGCAATGCCTGTGTGCACAGACAATAGTTTCATGTTACACAGACAATTATTTGTCTGTGCGCACAGACAATATTTACCTCACAAACAATAGTTGTCCGTAGGGCTGTACACAAGTCCAAGACCGGACCGGAACCGGAATTCTAAAAAAAAAGTGGACCGAAGACCGGACCTATATAATTCCGGTTCAGGACCGGACCGGATTATTCCGGGTTTTCCGGTCCGGACCCACATTGGACCGGATTTTTTATTTTCTTATTTATACAATGTTTCATCTTTTAAAAAAATAGTTTTGGTTGTCCAAAAATTTACTTATCAGCTCATTATTTCTATTAAGGAGTATTGTTTTATGATATTTTATATGTGATTATATATATGTCATTCTTTTATAAGTATGATTTTCATTTTTTATGTCTCTTTTAATCAATATAATATACATATAATACATGAAATAAGTAGAAATAAACCCATCAACTATGCCAAGTGGAAATATGAAAACTATGTGATTAAATTTTGACTATAACTTTTTTTGGATAACCATACTAGTACGGAAAACTAATGTTCTTACTAGATTAATTTAGTGAATGATTTGACACAATATCTTTGTGTATTTAACAAAAATGAATTGAATTAATCACACTATGTATTATGGTTAAAACACGTAAAATAACTACATAAGTAAATACAAGGCATCTTTATATTCCAACTCTTAATGTTTTTATACTACAAATTTACTAGTGTAAGTATGTAAATAATACTACGTACGAAATATGTATCTTGAGTTAATGTCTAAGGTAAAGTATCAATTAATTAATGTTTTTTTTTGGTTAAGCAAATCAATTAGTCTACTAAGTACAGAATATGTGTGCTTTCAAAAAAAGTACAGAATATGTGTTTGTGTGTATACAAATTTAATACATACATGAATAAATAAATAAGTAAATAAGTATATATATATATATATATATATATATATATATATATATATATATATATATATTAACTATAAAAAAATCCGGTCTAACCGGTCCGGACCGGAACCGGAATCTGTAAAATCCTTGGACCGAAGACCGGACCGGTATCTATCCGGTCCGGGTCCGGTCTGGACCGATCGGTCCGGTCCGGTCCGGTTTTCAGGTTCGGACCGAATTATGCTCAGCCCTAGTTGTCCGTTCTACAGACAATAGTTGTCTGTGTGATCAACTTTAATTGTCGGTGTGATCAATTTCAATTGTTTAGGTGAATGAAAAATTTAATTATCTATCTATATCCAAATGAATGATGTAGTTGTATGTTTCATCAATTTACATTTAATTTGAAAAAATTGAAAAATATTAAAAATAGATGAAATAAGATGAATAAGTTGATTTTGTGTAAATAATGAAAAAACAATTGATATAAAAAGGTAGAGAAAAAGAGGATGAAGAAGGGAAGATGAAGATGAAGAAGAGAAGATGATCTCTCATTTTTTGTGAGATATTCTAATGGGTTGGGTAAAGAGGAAAGAGAGAAGGGGGAGGGGGAAGAGAGAGTGGAGAGAGAGGGGAAAGAGGAAAATTCTTAAGGCACACCTTGGGTTACACCCTGGGGTACACCCCATTTATTTTCCCTTCACACAGACAAAAAACGTAAAAACACAGACACTTTCGATTAAACTGTCGGTGTGAGTTTGCAGATTTGTCAGGCTGGTTGCACGCAAACCAATGTCTGTGTGCACAGAAACTAGTTGTCTGTGTAGACAAAAAAGTGTCGGTGCGAACAAAGTTGGTTTGCAAGTTCAGGGGGTGGGAAACTAGTGTTGGTGTACACAGACATTAGTTATCTGTGTAGAAAAGTGTCTGTACATATACAATTTTCGTCGGTTTTCTTTCCTTCTCACTTTTTGCGTTTTATGCACATCGACACTGATTTGCTTTCAGTGTCTGTGTACACCGACGAAAATTGTATATGCACAGACACTTTTGTTTCTACACAGACAACTAATGTCTGTGTACACCGACGAAAATTGCATATGTACAGAAACTTTTTTCTACACCGACAACTAATGTCTGTGTACACCGACACTGGTTTCCCAACCCCCTAAACTTGCAAACCAATTTTGTTCGCACCGACACTTTTTTGTCTACACAGACAACTAGTGTCTGTGCACATCGACATTGGTTTGCGTGCAACTAGCCTGGCAGATCTGCAAACTCACACTGACAGTTTAATTGAAAGTGTCTGTGTTTTCATGTTTTTTGTCTGTGTGAAGGGAAAATAAATGGGGTGTACCCCAGGGTGTACACCAAGAAGGATTCGGGGAAAGAATGAAATGAATTTTTTGGGGGGCCTTTTATATGGTGTACGCTTTGTGTACACCATGTGTACCTTTAGCATTTTCCTTCTAAATTATGATGAATTAGTCACTCAAATGGTGATGAATTTTGTAAGAGATATTACCCGAAATAGGACTAAAAAGGTTTGAAAATTCCAAAATAGGACTGCAATGTTTTTATTCCCAAAATAGGACTAATTACTGTCATGTTTTGGCAGTACCAGACTTCTAACATGACAGTATTTTCCAAACATGGCAGTAAGTACTCCTATTTTGGGAATAAAAAACTTGGCAGTCCTATTTTGGAATTTTCAAACAGTTTTAGTCATATTTCGGGAATTTCCCCATGTCCATCCCAACATAGTAATCTTCCCACGGAAGATTTCGGTTCTTACTCAATTCTCCAACTTTCTCCTGACTAGAATTGATATTAAGGGGAATGTGAGCATGGATATCTATTTAATAAAAGTTTTTGGAAGCTAAATAACTGTTAGGAATAAACGCACGCAACACGAATAATAATAAGAAGAACACACAAAATTTAGTAACCCAGTTCACCACGAATGATTACGTCTGGGGGCGTTACCAAGTCAGGATATTGCTATTAATTTCGGATGAATGATTACAAGGAGAGAACTTGTATTTATTGAGAGTATAACATAACCCCTAATAGAATAGGACGTGTGCGCGGCCCAACCGGAACAGAAAAAAATCGCGACCCATCCAGAAAAGGACCCAAAAATTTTCGGAATGAGCTTGGTTATACAGTCTCTAACACCTTACAATAACTAGTCCAAACCGATATATAAATACAAACAAATATTCCGGTCAAGAATTTCTTGACCAAATCCCTGTCCGGCCACCTCATTTTGAGTGGTTCCCGGTGGTATTTGTTACTGAAACTTGTTGTGCATGTTCTCCATGATGTGTAGATGATATCCAATAAATTTGAGCGAAAAATTCATTTAGGGAAGCAGTCAAATGATTTTTGGAAGATAACTGTGTTTTATGTGTATATTTTGGCGCAATTATCTTTCAAAAATCATTTGACTGCCTTCCCGGTTAAATTTTTTGCTCAAATTTGATGGCGATCATCTACATTTCTTGAGGAACATGATCAACAAATTTGAGCAAAAAACACCATCAGGAACTAGCTCAAAATGAGGTGGCCGGACAGGGCTCTGGTCAGGAATTTCCTGACCGGAATGCTATTACATACGGAGTACTCCGTATATATAGTGTATATAAGTGTGGTTTCACAAGATGTGTTGTAATACGGATTTTATTTTTGTCCAACTCTTTGTTTTTTGTACATCGAAAAAGATATGTCCAACTCTTTATAGTTCACACCAATATATTTAATTCTACTAGAGTCTTCAGGGCCGTCTCTAGCGTTTTGGAGGCCCTAGGCGCTTTTTTTATTCATATTAAAATATTAATGTTATCTCTATAACATCTTTTCAATAGAAGAAATTATTTTTACATACTGATCATAGAGCCCGCCAACGATTGTAAATCAAATCTCTTTCAACTACTCCTTAATTAATTCTTTCTCTTCAGGCATCCCGGGTCAATTTTTTTGTATACCGTCATGACAATACTAACGTGTTTATAGAAAATATAAAATTCACAAACAATCAATTTAAAACCTAAAATTTCTAAATACAGTCACAAATCAAGCAAAATAACTAATTTAGTTAGAGCATCTCCAATGCTACAATGTGCACGGTGCACATGTGGCGTGAGAGAGATACACATAAAAGATTGATTTTATGACATTTTTCTCTCCTTCTTTCAACGGTCTTATATGTTTTTGGTAAGTTTTTCTCTGCAATGTCAACCACAATGTCTACACCTAGACATTGTGCTTGACATTGTGAAGAAAAACTTACCAAAATGATTTAAGATCCTTCAAATAATGAGAGAGATGGTCTATTTATTATTTTTTAATTGGTTATCTCCCTTGCCACGTATGTACCGTTAACATTTTAGCATTGGAGATGCTCTTATACACATACCAATACAATCATATCAATTACGGAGTACTTAACTTTACAATCACACTAAGGGGTTGTTTACTTTTTTCTTCATTAAGTCCTGAATGGATTAAGACGTCTGTCTGCATTAAGCTGTCTGTCTGGATTAAGTTACCCTGAGATAACAAACTGTTTACTAAGTGTGCTGAATGAGAAATCTGAATCATGTCAAATGACCAAATAACCCTCCTGTCCGTAACAAGTTCTGAATGTATATTGTCTGTTTACTTTATACCGGAAAATAATAATACAATGAATTACTTAAAT